TATTCAACTTACTTTTAAACCTAGACCCAGTTGGTGCACCTAACTTTTAAACCTAGACTCTACGGTACTGGCCGTAGTCTGGGGCTTGTCCTGTTAGGTGAAGTGTCATCACTAATACAGAGAAACAGAATGGCAGCATTTTTCTCCGTGTGTTAACCTGAAGTTTGAACAAGGGGAAGGTTAGAGCAACCTTTATGCTAAATCCCGTAGCACAGAAATGTTCAGGGTATCTCTCAGTACACGTGTAAATGCCTCCAGGTCCTCCCTTAGAGACATTGATTAAGCTGTAGTACTGTCTGCTTACTAAAACGCATTACAGATTTCCCTAGGAAGGAATGGGGCTATGCTGAGGCAACCAAGACAAGAACAGTAGCAGCCTGGATTTTCATAACAGCTGGAAGGTGACATGTGAGTGAGAGCTTTCAGATTCTGCCTTTGTATCTCGTTTTATCTCCAGCAGTTTGATTCAAATCACGAACGTATTGGAAGAGGAGTGTTTTGCAAATATTGGTAACTTCTTGACTCATGTTTTTAAGCTATGCAAACTGCACACTTCTGCCCTGAATAAAGTATATCAGTGCACAGTGAAATGTTGTATTTTATTCCTCTTCATTGTGATATGATTGGCTAATGCCTCTTTTTCCTCATGCTGCAGAATAGCGGGTCTGCAAAAAACCCTGTGGGAAAGCCTCCACCTTCATTTAGCCATCACTTAACGGTCTTACAGAAATGTACAAGGGCACCCTGCCTCCACTAACATCTTAGAGGGGGGTTGATTTTATAGTCCTTTGCCATAATTTCTATCGGTTTCAGTGGAAAGGTCTGAATAGGGACTACAGGAGTAGGGTCCCTGGAAAGCCTGATCTCTGGCACACCCTTCAGACAGCTCACAGCTGTTTCTTCACCAGGTGGCTTGGAAGGATATACTAGAAAAACAATCTGGCTACATGACCTGGGATAGCAGGCGTAGTATTTTCGCTGTCTTCCTAGCTGCAAATGGTGTTTTTTTTGTAAAATAGCTATCCCACTTGGGGATTATTATGCATTAGACACATGGGACAGGATTCACCTCTGTTAACTGCAGCCACCTGAACAGTAGTCACAACTAAGCTAATTGTCTAGGCTGCTTCTACTGGTCAGCAGAGAACACTTCCAGAGGTAATGTCTTTCTTTTCAAAGACAAGTATTTAGACAAGATGGGTGAATCACTATCTAGAAGTGCTTGCTTTCACTACTGATTAGAGGGGAAGTCTTAATGATTAATTTAGGTGGCATGTGTAGCTTTTAAACTGGAGTTAGATGGAAGGAACATCATCCGAAGGGTACCCAGGCTAAAATCCCTTCCAGGAGCCCAACCCCAGCGCCCAGCGCTTTCCCCCCAGATCTGGCTGTAGGCACAGATGACAGCCAAGAACAAACTCCCCTGCTACCATCTGCAGTTTCCTCAAATAAGCTTACATCCAATAGCACATTTTTTTCAAGATAGCTTCTTTGTTCACAAAGAGAGACCCCACTGTGTAGGATGCTGTGTTACAACATGACCTGGTCCGAACAGAGTAAGAACTTACATTTTCAGAAAAGTCTCTGTAATATTTTGAAGATGTTAGCTCTAATATTAATGGTAAATCTTCTATATC